AATGCCATTTATTTTTCATTGTTCAAAACAGTAAAAAGTGTTAAAGTACTGAGAGCCAAATACAATAATACTAGTTAAAAGTAATTTATTAAAAATTTTTTTCCCTTTTCTAATTAATTTTACTGCCATTTAAAAATTTTACCGTATTTTTTATTATTTATAAAAATAATATGACGAAGCTTATGGAACAGCTAATAGATAACGCTGATGTGTTTAGTCAACAGAAGCATCATTTCATAGTGTCATTAGATATAATACGATAAGGTCCACAATATCAAGAAAACTTTTTCTGAAATAAGAAACGGAATTATTCGGCTCAAATACGATGACTGTGTAACATAAGCGAATAGCAAAATATATTATCGGCAAAAAAACTGAACGGCAGGCGTGGCATGTTATTTTTATTTTCTCTGAAAAATTCTTTATTTTCCTGGAACAATTTGAATTTAATGGCATCATAACATAAAACTACGAATTCATTTGTCTCTGGGAAGGACAACCTTTTGAATCCTAATGATTGAAAACAATTTTTTTTCTTGCATGTCAGGAAACTTTCAGAACATCTGTTCACCATTCAGTTAAATTAACTCTATGATGATGGATATCAGTTAAAATGAGAAAAGTTATTGATTTATTTCAGTAATTCATGTTTTTCTCATTATCATATTTTAATCTTTGAGATATTCCATTTGTGCTTCTTTATAACCTTGAAATTCACATTTATTTCTTAACTGCAACTCATTTAACATTAGCATCTCCAATTTAACTTGTAATACTTACGGCTCACTATATCACTTCTCTGAGCTCTGAGCAAGTACAGGAAAAGCAACAATGCATGTCAGACATTTCATTTTTCAAATTGCAGCAAATACAATGCTAATGTAGTAAGAGAAGAGACATTGGAAATGAAATGAATAGAACTGGATCAGAAAATAGACTGAGGCAGTAATTATGGTTTGATCTGAAAAACTTCCATATGAAAAATGTCTCCTCCAGTAAACTTTTAAATAATTCTAAAAGAAAGACTTCTTTAAAATCTCTTATCATAAGCATAACATGAAAAAAGTCTCCTATCTTCTTTCCGTCCTTATAAATACAATCCCTTTTCTAAGTAAACTTTGGGAGAATCGACGTTGTGGTTAAGGTTGAGAAATAGGAATGAATTCCACTTGTTGTGGTCACTCCAAAGTTTTACCAACTTCATTATTTGGACATTAAAATTAAAAACACCGACGCTGGGTAGTAAAATTAGTTTTTAGTGATCATTAAAAATGCTTTTTGAACTGATTTTCTGCAATTTTTAGGTGAGCAATTAGTTGTATATAATTGCATGTTGCTCTACTAATGATCAATACAAAAGAGATAAGTCGTAAATAATTCAAAAGATACTCTTACTATAAAATAGATAGAGCTAGATCTAAGTATTTTATATATTCAGTAGTTTTAAAGTTTATTGGAACAAATTTCTCAGCTTGAAATGACGTACTTGAAATGACGGAATTCGAAAGAAATGCTAAATTCGAGATAACGAGTATTGAATAGCTCTGTTTCTGTTTCTGAACCTTTTACAAAGAATAAATGGAATTTTTATCGCGAGCACTGAATGCACTTCATTTTATTCTTCTACTCAGAAAACATTAAGCCATAAGCAAAGATCGTTCAGTTCGATGGTCAGAGATGAATTGTTCAATCACTCATTCATCTTATCAATAATGTAGCAATGTAGTAATCTTTCATAATCTTGAAATTCTTTGTAGATCATTTATTGTTAATAAAGTATCTCTACTCAATTTCAAAAGAAAAAAAAGTCCAGTTTTCCAATGAACATTTAATTTTTTGGTCAGAATAAGCGAAAACAGAGGAGAAAATAAGATATCATGATAATCCATATTTTACCATACCTTATCAACAATGCTTATAAGAAGCAATCTCATAAGAAGATATCATTCATTCTCAATTAAACTACATAATTCCATTGATTTTAAAATATAGTCTGAAAAATCTGTTTTATAACTGTGTTCTTATAATAAAACGTGCTAAATTAACGTGATAATGCTAATAAATATGAGAACAAGCTATGACATAATTTATAGGCTGGTCAACTTGTCTCGACAATGATTCTAACTTTATCATCACAAAGGATTTTTCACGTGAGAAGCCGCTCAAAATATTGAAAGGTTTCGTAATTAAAAAATAAATCCTCCGAATTCTTATCCAATACCAGCGGAAGCCAAAATTGTTCAAAATGTAAATTTTATTTGTTAGAACGGAAGAGTTTAGTGTAAACTTCTCAGTTTTTTCCTGTTTAACAAAATATATTTTGCTTCATTTAAAAATTGATAAAGAAAAGAAAATTTAAGTCGTTTCGAATTTCGTCATAATTGCAAGTGATGAAGTGAAAATTATGCGCATCTTATATGAAAGAAATCAGTTTCTTAAAAAGAACATTTTTCAAAAATATTTATTGCAAAAATTAAGTTCACATCATTAACTAAAAATCGCAAATCATTAAAGACAAAGAAGAGATAAAAAAATGAAGTATTCCCTTTTTAATTTTATTGATGCAAAGAAATAATTATCATTAATGCATTTAACAATTTCTCTTCTTCTGAAGCTCTTCTCTTATCTGTAAATAGCTTAGTGAAAGATAGTTAACAAATCTTCCTCTAGGAAAATATAAATCTTATATGTTGGAAGTTATATAAGGTGTTCTTAATGCGACAATTTTATAAAAGCGTCGAGCACACAAGTTAAATTCTCATCAATAATTAAAAAATTATAAGCCATTAAAGAGGGAAAAAGGTGAAAAAGAAAGAGAGATCCTCTCTTTCAATTGTCATCTTCCTAACACTGACTGAAGAAATAAAGACTCTTGACAAAATAAAAAGGTCCTGTGTTATAAGCATATTTCTCAGAGACCTCAGATAAGTAAGAAATCTAAAACCATTGATATAATTAGATAGGAAATAGCGATATTCGTGTCTGAGATAAAATTGTTATATCTTTTGAAAAATTATATATTAAGAAGTACTTTCATTGTAAATTTCAAAGTTGTGGATTTTAGTGCACATTAAAAGTGTGCAATTACTGGTTAACAGTTGAAGAATTTTCATCAGTTGTAGAAAAGCAAATGGTAGAAATAACGATTTGTAAACATCTTGTGATTTTCATATATGAAAGAGTTCAGTGGATACAATAAAAGAAAAAAGCTAATCATCAAAAGCATATAGCTTTCTCAGATTTTTTTAAAACTAAAGTCTTGTCATTTATTTTTAAACTTTTGGACAGAAAAAATGATAAATGAAAAGTTTCAATGCATTATAAAGTGGAGGATTATTATGACCAATTGCAGAGATTGTTGACTAATTATATTAATTATGCAAGGCAGAGTTGACATTTGTACTTAACAAAAGAAATCAAAGTTTCTGGACAAGATCCACAGGTAAGACTTAACTGTCTTTTATTTTTGTCAATGCAAATGATCAAGTATGATGAAATATGCGTGAGTACTTAAACATTTTCTTCGAAAGCCCAATGGACGTACTAAATTTTTAATCGAAAAGAAGAAAAAGATTTATATAAGACTTTGAAAGAGATCTAGAAAGCAAAAGAAGTAATTGAAGTGAAATAAGAATTCAGTCCTTTCCTTTAATCTCAACTTCTGGATAAAAGTGGGATTTTTAGTAGCAGGTGAATGACTGAGTAAGTCATTATACAGCAATTCGTCGGGGTCCTTATATATCTTTATATATATATATATATGTTAGTCTACCAATCCAGCCCGTCCAGAATTTTCTCGAACAGTATTACTTACATAAAAATCTCGAGACATGTTTATAACTTTACCTTTAATCCAGAGACCCTATAAAAATTCTATAATCACTACGACAAGAATAAATAAAAAAATTTCGGATTTGTGTTTAATGTTCACAAGAACTGTAAAAATGAAAAATATTCAGCAGTGGGTAATCATATAAAATGTATTCACGAAGAATTTCTGGTTCTTACATTTTTTATTCATCTAATCTGAAAAAATTTTAAGTACCATATTAACAGAATCAATTAAACTGAAAATATGACTAAAGAATGATATCATTTTTGATATCATGCATGAGGATTTAAAAGTTATACGAAAAAACCTCATGGAAATGTATTTATAAATGCTTCTTACATAATTTTAATCGCTTTCAAAAAATGTGTTTGAAAATATATCTGAATGCTACTGTTTCTAATCATATTTTTTTGGAATGACGTGTGCAACAAATTATTTGCCATAGTTTTTCTCATGAAATACTTTTCCAACAGTTTTCGGAGTAAAGTGAAAATTCCACTTTGCAATGCTAAATGTTTCAAAAGGTAAATGAATTGACAATTAAAGATTTCACATCCGAAAACTGTTTTTTTGGAACACTTTACTATTAAATATTGATTACTGGAAAAGCTTTTACAAGCTTTTAAGATGATCGTTTTTGGCCATGAAAATAACATCGAATCTATCTTCAAAACTGACCCTACTTTACCCTTTTTTATCTATGCTATACATTCGTGAACTATTTAATTCTTTTTATCTATGTTTAAGCACTCTCGAATTATTTACTCCCTTCAATTAGTTTCCTCACTAATAGTGGACTTTTGTGCATGTCAATGTATTTTCGGCTGCAAACCTGACAATGGCTTGAAAAACGAACTATCCTGTGAAGGAAAATGTATGTTCAATATTTTTAAAGCTTAAAGCTCAACTTTTAAAAATATGTCTTCGATCGAGATGGATATCAGAGAACAGAGATAGCAGCAGACGTAATTTGTCACAATTTAAATATTATTGAGAACTTTATTAGTGATTGCAATCATTTCTGTAAAACTATCTAATGTAGAAATTTCGTCAAATGCATAACACGCTGTCACCAAGGATCACCTTCAGACTAATGACAGATATTAGTTTAAATGAAAGAATTCTCGGGACAGAGGCTAATCACGATTCCGCCCTGTTTGTTGACTGTTTATCGTTTTTTCCAAACCTGAAAAAGTGTTATGAACATATCACTTTATCATTCTAATCTTGAATGTTTTCAGTTATTCCATAATAAACTGGACACAGGTATTAATATTACCGTTTTAGTTTTCGTCTCTTGTTTGTGATTTTCTTTTATAAAAATAATTTCGTATAGAACGTTCTATATTCAGTAACGGAAATTCGGAAAGCATTGAAGCTTGGAAACCAAGCAAATATGCAATAAATAGATTAAGTAGCGCAATATTGAGAAACTGAGATTTAGTTTCGTAATGATAAGGAAAAGTTATATGCAAATAAGACGCAAATATAATAGGTAAATGATTGAGATAAACCTGAAATATTGCACATTCATTTTCCTAAGTATAATTATTCGAGTAGTTAGTTAAATCTATCGCAAATTCTTTGTAACAATTTGACTTAAACTCTACAGATGTAAAAACTTTTATGTACAGTAAAATACCGATAAAGGAGCATAAAGTGTAAAATACCGAGTAGCACAACACGGAGAGTGGTAAAAATAATTTAAAACTAAGAAATGTATTAATAAAGCTAGCATATCCGTTGTGACAGGCATAAATTAGCCAAGCTATAGCAACGGCAAATGTTGTTCGATGAAGCGCTCCATAAATCAGATAATAAAGCTTCCATTCCAAATTCTGTAAATATAAAATCAAACTGATTAAGAGGATATCGTTTCTGATCCTTGCACTCTTTTCTATAAATCGCTTCTTTTGAAGTACAGACGAAATACTCCGAAACTTACTGTTAAAATCGGATAAAGACCGTACATACTGATAAAGGCAAGAAAGATTGATAATATCCAGCCACAGGTAAGAAAAGTAGTCGAATGCTGTTTATTAGAAATGTTTTTGGTTTGAATCTTAGCCAAATGATGACCGAGTAACAAGCCAATAATATACGGTGCTGCACGATACTGAGGTTTGATGTACATTACCATAAAATGCTTTAAATGATAAAGAATTAAAATGTTTGCAATAAAAAACATAGTGATAAGCTGCTCTTTTAGTATTACTGAACCGCTTGTGGTTATATGGTTGCTGGTAACTGTTATCGTATCACTCTTTTTAAAGTATATCAGTGTTCTTCATCATAATTATCACTTTGATGAAAATCTTTACTGTTTTCTAACCATTCCACGACTTAATCATATGTTCAGGACAAACAGAATACTCGCCAGTTTAACCAACAGTAGCGAAAGTGAAATTCCAACTTTAAATTTAAATCATTCCAGAATTATTCCACAATTACTCTTACATCCTTCAAGAAGCCAAGTGATAAGAATCTGATATCAGACAGAAATGCACAAACCTCCATGAAATTAGAATTATAGATAGGAGGTCTGTTCCAGCCAAGTTGTGTGGGTGGCATATTGTAAACAATCATTGCATAAACTCGGGCTGCGTCTGATAATGCTATACAGAGGATGGATAATAGATAGCCCCGATTCTGATTTCGACCAAGTGTTATCAGAAATATGGGGGACAAGAGATAAAATGTAAATTCAGTACTTACATACCTAGAATTAATCAATAAGTTTTACATTTGCATAAAATTAAGAGTGATAACATTAACTGATATATGTTGTAATAATTAAAAGAATCTGAAAAAAGGATGAATTCAGAAATTTTTTATTTATAAAAGCACTACTTTGATCACTAGTAGAGTGGACAGATCACCTACCAGGCCCATCCCATACAACGGTGTTCAAATAAACTGCCTATGAGTAATAAATTTTGCCACCAATATTTGGAGCACTGTACATTGTGATCAATTTCAGGCCATAATTCCTGATAAAATATGTTGGTAAGAAAATATATAAATATCATAGTATAAAAGTAGGCTGGCCATAAACGGATAATTCGATGCACATAGAAATTCAACCAAAACTTTAAAGATTTCCATGTTGGCTTCATCTCTAAATTCACATTAATTTAATCAATTAACCGATTTTCTGCTTTTATTATAGCATATAAATGATATATGTTCACTGAAAGATTCAAGTGTGAGTATGTTCTTCTACATAATGGTTTTAAAAGTTGAAATTCCATAATACTTACCCATTTTCTCGTATTTCTGAAAAAACCCGTAGGCATTCACTGTTCCTCCAAGTACTAAAAATACATCGACAGAAAGAAGAAAGTTTGCTATCCATTGATTGCCAAAATTATTGGCGATATCATGATAATATTCGTCAACATTATCGATATATGGCTAAATATGCTAAGCAGAAAAGTAGTTTAAAATATATTTGTAATAAAACGACCAAAAGAATAAATGAATATGTTGTAAAATGGATGAAATCTAAGATGTAAGAAAAGGTTCAATATTTCTTAGAACAACGAACAGCAACAAAGGCAAACATATGACCAATGATAATCCAAATCATCGTTAAGAATCGTATGCCAAACATGCAAGTGATAACTTTTGAACGATTTTTCGGCATTTTGAATATCAAGCCGACATTTTGGTTGATTGAAAACGCAAGAAGAATTTGTTCTTTAATTGTTCTAGATCTAAAAATTAAAAAAATTAAGTTCGTTCCTTCGAGATAAAATCAGTGAAAAAATTTGCATTGAAACTTAATTGTATGGAAAATAATTAATAATTTTCAATTTTTGCTTATTAATAAAAATGTTAAATTGAAAGATTTAATGAACAAAAAAAACATACTTTGTTCCAGGATTGCTTATAATTTGATAAATAGTTGAGAATAAAACAATCAACCATAGGAGTGTATTACAGGACAACGTAATAATGGGAAGTGGTTTGTCGTACCATTGCACTGGACGGCGAGAATGAACACATATTGAAACAGAACTACCGTTTTCTGGTAGTTCAATACCCAATGCTTTCTCGTAGATATTCCAAAACTTAAAATTTTTTATTGTAATTTGAAAAAGTTTTTTGTACTTATGAATATCACCATAAAATCAGATTACTTCTCTAAACATAAAAACTTTTTCAGTGCAAAATTGTAAAACTTAGTTACTTGGGATTCAATCGATATTACCTTATGTTGTTCTTTTAAACACAACTTTGGGAAACATATAGTGTGCGCAATAGATTTATATTGTTTCGAATCATAACGATAACAAAATGTTGTTGGATGCTGGGAAGCTGAAAATGTTGATTCGCCAGCTAATTTGAAGCAAAGCAGCATTCGAAATAGCTGCAACAAAAAACTTCTTTAAGATGTAAAGAATGATCATTTTCTTAAACTCAATTTTAATTTCTGAGCACATGAAAATATATTATTCGAATATTGATAAATTATTGGAATTATTAAATTTAAAGAGAGAAATCAGTTCTATAAGTACTTATCTGTACTAATTAACAAAAATTGTAATATATTTTTGCGGAATACGTCATATATTGTCAAAGCATTAAATATCAATACTAACAAATCTGCTGTCTGTAATAAATTCATTAGATATGCCATGCCCAAATGTAGGGTAAAATGCGTTCAACACACTTAGTGGACTAAGGCTGGAATTCTGATAAGCTTTGACCTGGAAACAAACCTTTTCAATGAATGATTAATTAAAGTATACCAATCGAGTGAATCATAAAAACATTTGTAGACGGAAATGTTATTAAAAAATATAGCAGAAATGCCAGAAAGTATTTATGTTTAAGAATCGATGTCGATTGATTCATTTCAATTTTATCACTTCAAAGAACTACTCTGTGACGCTATAGCGATCACTGAAAGGTCTTAATGAGTGTTAATCACTTTTTTCGCTCAATTTTCTTATTCAAAATTTTGTCTTAAGAATAACTGCAAAGAAGCAAAATGAAGAATTTAGTTAAACTGTTCCAAAGTAATTAAAAGTGTTTTACGCAACACTCGAAATTTTAAATACTGCTAGAGTTTGTAGGATGTAAGCTTACTTTTAACAAATGCTGAGAACAATAAGGTGACAACGACCACAATATTTTCTTCTCCATATCTCTTATAGCCAAAATACCATCAGTTTGGCCAAAAACCATAACTACTTTTACTATAACACTTATGATGCATAACTTAGCCGAAAACCGCATATTCACTGCAAAAACAAAATTAACAAACTTAACATTTTTCAATTATTAATAGTCGTTTTCAGCCATCGTAAATATTCTAATCGTTATTGTTGTGTCATCTCATAATAAACTTCGTCACTATTGTCATCAACAAAGTTTTCACTAATGGATTTAATTATAAAAAATAATATGAAGGATAATTCATTATTAGTGTTGCTAGACAAAAATTCGATTTTATAATCTCTCTAAACTACAAGAAATTTTTTGCAAAAAACTCTTAGCTCAAATTATGATAGATGAAAGTTGCAAAGAATTATACAATGTTCTACTTCTACAGGTTAGATTGCTCCTAAAAGTTTACCAGCTGAGACTTTAAATGTCAAGTATTCATCTTGGTAAATTTTATGAACTATCATTTGCTGATGTTCATGTATTTTCAATATTTCTATGTTCAAGACTTAGAACCACGTCAAATTCGCAGCACATAACAAAAATAAACACGGGAAATGGTTATGAAAAGAACAGCTACGTACCATTGTTTTAATAATTTGTAAATACATTGCACTTCACTGCACACTTTCAAGCAAGCATCACTCCAACATTTTTTATAAGAGTTGCGATTGATTCAAAACCAAATACGTTTGTCTGGAAGTGTGCGGTGAATACAATGATGCGACGCAACGAAGTAAGTGAAAATGGTTGTCACCGCGATCCCTTGCATTGTCTATCTTTGCAATGAGAACACTGTTAATTCCAGTTTTTATTGGGTTTTATTCACGAAAACTAGAACTGATCGTCTCCACTTCAACTGAGAGTGTTGATTACTTGGCGCAGAAATAGAGTTACCCTTAATTATGTCCAGTTTAATGATTTCAATCATTTTTCAAGTAATTTTAGAATTGTAAAATCACTGAGAGAAAGGTCTCTTATATACAGTGCTCTAATTTAAACCGTGATACGGATTAATCTTTTCAACAGCGGTCAACATCTTGTATACTTCGAGTAATGAATAATTTTCAAGCATTAACTAGAAATAAGACCATTCATCACCAGTTTGAGAATCTGTTCTCACTTCCAGTCAAACCATGTGTAGTCATTTTAGTGAGGTCATTTTAATGAAGGAAGAATAAGCGATAAGTTACAAATCACCTTTAATCCAATGTGTTTGTTACGCATCGACAAACTAAGTTTCAATGGAATGAGCGATCACCATCATTTCAGCCACCCAAGTTAACAGAGATCATAGCGTATCATGAAATAATGTCGGTAAACTTATCAATCTGCTGTTTTTTCTATGCCGTAAAAATAAGCAATAGATTTTATTACTTATTCAGAAGACAAAAAACTGGTTGAGCAATAAAACAGGCCACATTTCAGCAAACATAATAAATAATTATTTTAATATTATAATTATGAAGGACCAATTATTGTAATATATACTTGAATTTAGGAAGACAAAAATGTCTCTTCTACAATGGCTAAGATTTTTATCATTTTAAAGTGCTGAAAAAATTTTTGAAAGTGCATTAGAAGAATCGTTCATAGCAGCTGTACTAGAAGTTATTTCTAATTTGTTATTTCTATTTATGGAAAAATATTTGAGTACAGAATTTATTCCATTTCTACCTAAATTATTCCTGTTATTCTGCATACATTAACGTAACCTCTAATATTATTTGAATCCGACACAAAAAAATGATACACACATCAAACAATTGCAACAATTTTTTTCACTAATGTCGACACAGAGATCAAAGAAATTCAAGAAAAGGTGATAATATTTTAAAACTGACAAGAAATACAATATTAAATTACTTCATTGATACCTGCGAATTATTGCTTTTAGAATAGTCTTATTAATTACTGGCTTCCAAACGTATCTACATAAATTTAAAAAACTTTTAGTTTATTTCTTGTATCAAAGATATTTCTAATAAGTACTATTATTGCAATAATTCAGCGGCAGATCAAATGCTTACAAGTATTCATGGAATAAAATTTTTGAAATTTTTAACTTGCTAACAAAAAATATTAAAAAAACAACAGAGTTTTAAAGTTCAGCAATATGAAAAAGGCAGAGACACGGACCTCATGAGCAATAAATGGAAATGATATGCTTAAACGATACATACACTTAATATTTTAGAAAGTATTGCAAACGTATTAGAACATAAGCTGGCTCGGATAATTTCCATATAATTTCTGGTAAAATGAAAAAAAAAATTTGAAATTGAGCTCGTCATTGAATCCGGTATATGTAGAGTGAATTTAAAATCAAAACAAGAGCAATAAATGAAAAATATTATTTTACTTAATATTTATCGAGTTAATGATAAAAAATTCGGTGAATAGAGCTTGGTTTGAATTTGCTTGTACATTAAAAGCTGAATTGCATGATGGTTTTTCAGACTAAATCAAACTACCAAAGATTTGAATTTCACTCATTAAAAATTATGGTACGCACAGAAATAATGGAAGAATGGATACCTAAAATGAGTGAAGCTTCGCATACATCCTAAATATATGTGAAATTCAAACACTAATTACCATAATGAGCACTTTGATATTGGGTTCATTGGTGAATTTGGTGGACATTTGAAGGCTTCTGCGAAACCAGGTTGATTGACAACTACGCCATTAACACGTAATCGGAGTGGCGCATGTTGATCGGTTAGTACTTGTCTGATTAATGCAGCTGGTCTTGAATGTCCACACCACATCTGTAATGTTTTTCCTGAAGTTGGAATTGAAAAGATAGAAAATAAAAATGGAATCCAAGCCTACAACTTCAAAAATTAAGTATTCTGTTCGTGCAGAAAATGCACCATTTAATTTTAGACAAATTTTATAGTAAACTGTCAGTAGCGAAAAATTTTGAATTCGAAATTCCAAGATGTTAAACATTTTAATGCTAAATATATAACACAAATCATGAATTGATTGAGCAAACTGAAGTAGTGAAAAAATTCACCTGTGCACTACTTAGAAAGAATATTTGATTCATATCGAGATGTTCGAGTCCTGGCAAGCGTTTCTCCTCGTGACCAATTTTCTTGATGTAATTTCTATAGGCCTGAAGCAAATTCACATTACTTTCTCAAATAAATTCTACTTAAAAATTTAGCAGATACGATAAATCTACAAGAAAAAGAACACGTCATTGGATAAATAAATATTCACAGATGATTTTCAGGCTTTATTTTTACTAAGCTTTTGCTTACACGCTTTCAAAAACATCAAAAACTTGCAAAAACAGAAAAATTAGTAAAATCTACAGTTCTGGGAGAAGCTTAGAAGAAATGAACTTACTCGGAAGGCTTCTTTAATTCCACCGTTGTCTGCAATATTTTCACCCAATGTGCGCAGACCATTGATGTGTAAATCTGTTCCAGGGATTACGTAATTATTGTATTCCTTCATGAAACAATCTTTTTTTTGCTTGAAATTTTCCTTTGTAACACTATCCCACCAGTCGCGCAGGTTACCCTGATGGTCAAACTGACTTCCTGTACAAGGATCATTTGAGTTATTATTTTTTGTTAGGTTCATTTAGTGGTTGCAGCATGTAAAGAATTTAAAGCGAATCTTATGCTGTCATCAGTAGTGCTTCCTGTGTGGTAATGAACCTTACATTATTGCTTTGCATGAATTAAAAAGAGGATTATTGATTATAGTTCATGAAATATCTAACGAATAACAGAATATATGATTATAGTTACCTCGATCATCGAATCCATGAATTATTTCATGTCCGATAACCGATCCAATGCCACCAAAATTCATTGCCCTGAAAGAAAAAACTATAATTCTGATGTAAATAGATCAAGTAGATGCAAATAGCAACATTTCAAAAAAAAAAAACAAAAAACCGTTAAATAATTATTGCTTTTTTTTTACGCCATACATAAGTTACAAAATTGAAATAAAAAATCTCAGAAAAAAAATTGCTCCATGACATGTGAAATGAAGATAAAATCTCACTTCGGGAAAGTTCGATCAAAAAATGGCGCTTGAAGGATGGCTGCAGGGAATACTGAAATTAAGCAGAAATAGGACTTTTAATTAAAAACAGGATTTTTACTTATATATTCCTGTTGTGTTTGGTTCCTAAAATTGATTTTAGGAAATTGGAAATGTATCAAAAACAGACTTATTTTCTGCTCTTAAGATGAATTCTGAAGATTTAGAACACTTATGGAAGCATTTTCTTTACTGACATCTTCATTTTTGAACGTTAGATATAATGATCTAAAGCTAAAAATAAAAAAAAAAAACACTGTGAACTAACCAACAGCATTTTTCAGCGATGAATAAAAAGCATTCACAATCGATGCTGGGGCGCTAAATTCCGTTCTTTTGACAGGTTTTATCAATCTTCGGTATGACTGTTCCAACGACCAGCGTGATATCTTTGTTATAATTTGGGCGAATGTATCGTTAGAATAAATATGCAACTGGAAATTACAAAATTTCAGCAATCGCATATTATGGAAATAGAATTTTAGACGACGTATTCAAAATTTTGTTCTAAAAATTGTGGGAAAATTTTTTTCAAAAACATTTATTACAAAGGAAATGTAATTACATACTAGGCTGTAGTATTCATCAAGGTCTTTGATATTTCGAATGAATTCTGGATAGCCGATCAAAGTTAACATTTCATTGATCTTTTTTAATGCTTTCTGTTGGGTGCTTTCATGTAGCCAATTACATTCTTCTAACATTTCTTTGAAGGCATCCTTTAAAAGGTTCACCATTTCAAGTGCTGCTTGTTTATCAGCCTGAAATAGATACAGATGTTATAACAAAAGTAGTATAACAAAAATGAGTCTAATAAAATACAAAGTTTAAGAGGAAATGATATTGTCATTTTGAAATCGTACTTCGTTAAAGAAGGATTTGACATATAAAGCTCCTGAAGCATAACCCATTCGTTCTACAGCTATTTGACTGCAGACCTTCCATCGCGGTGACTTCATCTGTTTTCCGATGATGGAGCGAAGGAACTCCTAAAAGACTTCATTTCGTCAAATATAACAAAACTATAATATATTTAGTTAAACCTGTGATAGTATTTTGTAATCAGATGATGAGTGTTAACAGTCTCTAAAAATTCTGCTTTTAAATTCACTAAATTTCATTAGAGCTCGTTTCTCTCAAAATCACCTGGTGAATGTCGTCATATCGTTCATCCAGTTGAAAATTCCATGTTGATGTATAAAGCCATATCATATAGTTTGCTAATGTTCGTTTAGGTGTTACCTGAAATTTCTTATTTTTCTGATAAGAAGTTTTCAGTTGGATGAATCTGATAATACATACAAATATTTATAAACATCAAAGAATTGAAACTAAATTTTTGAAACTAAATTGAAAAACCTGCTTCTTGCAATTAGTACTTTTGTCTCAATTGCTTCCTTTTCAATCTCTTTTATTTACATTTCTTATCGTCTAAGTCATTACTATGAAACTGTTTTAAGTCTGATAGTGATATCACTTTCTCATTCAATACTGCTCACTTTAAACGAATGATTATTTCTTACTTTATCTTCACTAAATGTACCTTATTTTTACAGGAAAACATGTTTTACATGCTTACCTTTACTAGTTTATCAAGTTGTTTTAAGAATTCCACGTCAATAACGTTGATAATTGGATTTTCGTTGAGATACCAGTGTAGATCAGAAGGAACCACAGTTTGAAAGTACTTCTTCCAGTTCATCTAAAAATGGGATTTATTTAGAGCGACGATAATTGCTGTCGTTTTTCCTATCTTCATGCAATTTTTAGTTCGTTACTTTCTGCTTGTCTACATCTCATTAATAAATGATAAGGATCGAGAAAGCAGAGGAATATATAATTATTGAAAGCAATATCAAGTGTTAGATATCATAGGCGCAAATGTATTAACAACCATATTGATACTACTTTTCATGAATTAATAATGTAAACATTGTTTCTACTGAGATAACATTTTTGTGTGGGATCAGAACTGTTGGGTCATTGGCTAAACGAACCTATTGATATGAATTAAGACCAGACATAGCAAAGCATTAAAACCCCTGAAAAATTTTAGCTGTAATTCATTGGCTAATTAATTTTTTGCACATTGGGCTATGATGAACTCAACAAGAAAAAACAAATTTTTTTTCTGCATGAAATTCAAAAACATGAACCTCTGCCATGAAGAGGGACAGATCACTGAGATGATATTGGTGATACAGCAAAGTATAATTCCTTCGGTTTTCCTCAGCAACCATAATCTATAATATATAAAGAGAACTTCTTTAAATAACAAATATATAGATGGATTATCCTCTGTAGATCAGTTCTACAAAGGAAAAAATGTATGAATAGAGAAAATAAACCTTAGCAAGCTTCTTCTCAAAGTTGATGATATCATCAGCCTCTTTTTCAATTTCATTTCGTTTCTTCGATGATCCAACATCACGTGAGATTAACATTGCCTAAATTTAATATATATGTAATTTATAAAGATTTCAAGTAAATTTCATACAAATTTGAGAAAATGGAAGGATCCACAACGCGTGTGCATTTCATTAAATTTATTATTAAAAAAAGCAATAAAGTAAATTTTTAGAGGAATTTTTCGGAATTACTTTGTCAATAATATATTTTTTATAAGCTTCCAATTGCGATGCATAATTCTTTTCCTTCAAATAGTATTCTCTAGTGCCAAAACCAAGTGCAAGTCTTCCTTGATCAATCTAAAAAAAGAACGTTCAAAAATTTATGCATTTCCATCCTAATTTTTTGAATTTCAGTATAAACTCATTTTATTGAATTTTTGAACTTTTTCATCCATTTAGAAATAGAGATTTGTTATAATCGCAATAAAAACAGGTCCATTATTTAATCGATAATAAATTTGCTTCTGCACATATTGATGAAAATATTACACTATCCAAACATTAAAAAAAAACTGAACACTATCACACTGTCATCTTCTCATTGTTCTAAGAAAGGAGAGTATATTGAAATCATGCGAAACTTAGGTACATTAGAGTCACAATTACTTCAAATATCTTTTTGAATTTTACAATCCTTTTAAGATATAAAAGTCGAGCTTTACTTTAGTTATGTGCTAAAAAAAGGGAAGGAAAAGAAGTCACTTACATGAATTAAACGTCTTGAAACATTTTTTTGATCAGATGACACATAGATATTCATTAAAATGCTAGAAGATCGCGTCTGTGCAATTCGAATCATTGTTTCTGTGAAATCGAATTTCGTTTCAGACCACTTACCTCCATATACCATTGGCCATGCACCAAGGTACTGGAGAAAATTTCATGTAATTACAGAGCATTGTAATACAGATCTTAGCTAAAATTAAATTTAAAAATTGTAGTTTCTAAAGTCGCCCGTATTTCAATATTCTGTAACTATTTAGGAATTTCCAAATTCACATTTGACTTGGAACTAATTATCTTATCTTTAATAATTTATGTCTACCAATTTCGCACCAATTAGTGAAAAAGAAAGAGAAATCCCTCATGGAATGTTTGAGGAAAACTTGCTACAATATCCTTATCAAATCATCCCACCATAAATTCTCTGTATTTTAAACATTTACATCATTAAACTTTAACTTATCAAAGAAAATAAGATATTAGATTGTATTGATAGAAAGTTACTAGATTTTGTTAATAGAACTATAAAGGGAACCTCAATGGCCTCAGCAATTTCTCGCCCTTTCATACTTTGCAATCGATTAGTATCCATGCAGGTTTTATATATCGTTTTTACTGTATCCATTGCTTTTGAAGTCGTTGACTGTTTTGAATCATAGAGTTCTGAAAATAAAAGATTAATTAATAGAAGTGAGTCTTATGTGATTGCCCTGCTAATACTTACAAAGCTTATTCATGATATGCCATGTTTATGGACCAGATCCAAAGTCCTTCCTGATGATTTGTCAAATTCTAGGTGTAGGCAGAACAAATGATACCACTAACTGGCAGTCTTTTAGGATAAAATCAGGTAGAAATACCTTTCATTTTAAGCGCTACTTTCTCACGAATTGATGCAGAAACCTCATACGCACCAAGATCACTTGGAATCGGATGCTCAGATACCCAACGTCCACAAGCATATTCAAAAAAATCATCACATGGATTAACAGTCTGATTCATTGATGAAAGCAAATAGTAAGCTGCTTTTATGTAACCCGGCGAAGTGCCCACTTCCAAATCCTTCACCTTATTCGGCATAATTGTATCTAAAAGTAAAATCATTTGATTTCACGCATTTAAATGCTTATCTTTCACAATTCAAAATTGCATAATCATATTTCAAGGAGTGAAGCATCCACTGATTGCATTGAAAATAAGTAGATAAAAGTGTGCTTTTTATGTAAATATATAACTTTATTTACTTTTTAATTTTGATAATAATTAGAAGTACCAGAAGTAAACTTGCCAATTATTGATGGATGCGATAATGAGAAATCGGAGCAAATAGCTATGAGACATATTGCGAAGAAATGAAAGGCATTCATCATAATTGTTTCAATTACTTCTTTTAAATTGCAATGTTTAGTTATCTGAAATTCAGTAACAAATCCTAGAAAATATTTCAAATTTCACAAAAAAAAAAAAATTATTTCTAAACGCAGTGAAAAAGAAATTATTCTGATATTCACTAAAAAAGAGAAAAATTGAACGTTTTTTTACTACGCAAATATGAAAAATTCAACTTGTTTAAATCGTCGTAAAGTAATTGTTAAAAATGGATAATTTGAGAGTTATTCATAAATAGATATAATGGAAATCGAGTTTTGTTATATTGGAAGTAGAAAGTATATTGACCATCAAGCAGTAGCCTTTTCACATGTGCTACTAATGCTTTCTTTACCAGTTAACCCTATTTAAACATTTCCAACAAGGAAGGAGGAGTCAAAGACAGGGAAAAAATCAGTTAAAGTGCAGAAGTGATGAATTAGTTAAAATAAACTTACGAACTTCTCGGTGCATGTACTTAATTAAGTACCAAATAATTCATTCATTAGTCCTTTTTTTTCTTTCAATGAGATATGTCATTGCACTGTCTTCCATAACGAAATATGATGTAATAAAATCGGAATGATGGCAGTATGAAGTCATAAGATAGGCAATTCCGGTTTCTTTGTTCGGTTGCAGTAAATCGTGTTTTAATTACGGGTTAATTAAACATGTTACAGCATGTGGCGGTTGCTGGACAGAAGTACACATTACAATTATACCTGGAAGGACTCAACAATGTCCTGATCACTTATAGAGGGCATTAAATAGTATTTTAATGCCTTTTTACAATGAGTGATCCGTTATGTGAAATATGAGTTTAAATGGAATAATTTCTATCTACAAAACTTTTCAATAAGAAAAATGGAAAAGAATTGGTTCGATCAATATATCTAAATGATTATTAAAGTAGAAAAATGGCTATGATATTTAGCCAATTTTGATAAGCGACAAAAATAAATGAATAATAAATGACTAAATGATTAAAAAATTCAAATTCATTATCATTAAAAATGTACTCTTCGAAATCATTTGAATTAACTTGTCTGTTATGTTGCTTACAAATTTATTCTTCATTGTATGTGTAAAATCCATATTAAAATCATAGACTAGAATAAATATCATTTAAGAAATCGTAGACTAGAAATGCAAAATTACAAATATTGGATTCCCGGATTAAAACTGAAAATCAAGATTACTTAGAGTATACACATCGTTAAAATATATTCATATATACACATTAAAGTACATCGGAAAAGTATATATGTCAATCATTCGACAACTGGATTAAGTATCAGATTTTTGTCCTAAGACTATGCGGAAAATTAGATGGAAACAATTTTAGTTTCAAAAAAACTTGAGATCAATTTTAGAAAATTAAGAAATCAGCTAAAAGTGTATGATTTGAAAACCATGTCATTAGGTTCGTTGGCAATTAAGTTCATCGATTAGAGACACAAAATATAATATCAATGAGGATTAAAAAGTCATGAAGCATTGACCTTTGGAAATTCTGAAAACCAAAGGTTATGTACTCTATTATACCACATTGTGCAAGAGGAAGTACCACTTTTTTCGAAAATTTTGAAAAGTGCAATTTTCGGTAGACCAATTTATTATTGCTGGTACTGTAAAGTATCGTGAAAAAAAGGAAAACCGGTAAGTGAGAGGTATGTTCACGCCAAATATGGGGGAATTTTTTTTGAAATAAGAATGAAACTAGAATTTTCTTTAGAAAGAAATGAACCAGTGCACTGAAACTTAATAGTGCCCCTGCACTGAATGAAAATTGTCCGAAAAGGATTTTAAAGCCTTTCAATTCTTTCATATCTTTAATCAGAGAAAGCTGAAATAGAAAGTGCGAAGAAAAGAAAGATCATGTAAAGTTCTCAATAAAAAGAAAAAATTGAATAACCTGCTGATTTGTCCTTAAAGTGACCGATTAACTTCAACACTACTTGAACATACATCTTCAAAAATTGACTTAAATAAATTTAAGGATGCATACGATATGAAGTAGAGTTAAGAAAAAAACTGAACCACAATTCTTTTTTTCTTATATTCATCTCTGCTAATAGTTCACCTTCAGCAAAATATTACATGCATTGTTCATCGTATCCAACAAACATCACGAGAATGAATAAACTTGCTGCCACTAACTTCTTTCACCGTATCTATACAAATCTTATAAGCTTCTGTCACTTCTCTTTCGCTTTTATTATCTAAATGAAACATAACACGATTTAATTAACCGATATTTTTTAAAGTCCGATCATTCATTCATTCTACCAATATTTTTCCCTTCATTCTTTTTATTTATGTTATATTTTTTCACTTCATTATTTCATTTCTGCTACGTTATGGATTCATTTTTATTGTAGTCTTATATCATCTTGAAGTACACAGCCAGTGAAGAAAATGAGAATATAATTTTGATTATATAAGTGTTTAAATCGTTAATTAGCTCATTGAAAGATGAGTCATACTCTATTTACACTTTTGAAAACTCGAGTTTTTATTTTTTTCGAACTAATTAATGTTCCGTACCTATTTTTTGCTTTAAATGCAAAATTAACATGAATGAGAAGGTGTTACGGCACGAAGATAGTAAGCGACAATGGGCATTAGTCAGTAATATCATAATATCGGGCACTTTACCACATAAATTATGAATTGCAGTATAAAGCGCATTTATTTTTCAATGACTACCAATTTATATAGTATATTTGGAATAAACAATACGTATACAGAAATGGAAATAACAAATGGTTTGCTATTAATTATGTCAATGATTAGTGTCGAGAATAAAAAGTGAATGCAGGTAGTAAAAGTTCGGAAACTAATAATTAATTCTTAAATAGAATGTTCAAAAAGAATATGTAAAAGCCAACAGTTGGATATAGCGTCTGATATGATATGGTAATAATTACTCAATGATTATTGACTGGAAGCATTTCATATTCTCGATGACACAAATATTGAAAAGGTGAGGGTGATGGACTGTTTTGTGAATGCTTATGATTGTATTTATTTTAATTCACTTTTATCATAACATAGAAAAGAGGAAAGCAAGGAGAGAAGAAATTCTATCCAATGATAACTGAATTATATAGTTTGAAAGTTTTGATATACAAACAAGCAGCATTATTAACAAAATAAAAGTGTGTAAGGTGATGAGAACAGGTAAAGATAATATTTTGGTTCTTCAGGATTGTTGCAATTTTCAATTCCACGAGGTTTTATGAAGATTCTTGGTCTGACGGAAACTTATTAAAACTTTCTCGGTTACGTCACAGGATGTTCTTTCACAAATAGGGGAAACCTCTCTTTCTCTCCGTCTATCACACTATTCCTTCTCTTCATGTAATGATGTTTACAATTGCTCGCTTCTTTGTGAAATTCTCGAAGTGCTAAGGAATACCATGCAAACGACCAGTTCCGAGTGATGAATTGATGTAGAGTGTTGTAGAGATGAATCGAAGGGTGAGTTCAGTGGGAATAATATCAGAGGTCATTCCTTCAGTGATCTCTAACAAATGACCTCCCGACAGGTGGCATAAATCTGCGCTTTCTTATCACGTCATTACGAGCATTTCATTACACTACTTCGTATCACATCCAACACTGAGAATTTTCGAGTGATAGTGCGTAAGACACTATTGCATTCAGCGTTGTTCACTCATTTTTGATACGAAGTAGACTGAAGAATTATTCTCATCTGAAGTTTGTTTATTCAGAAATTCTGAATGGGAGCAAAGATTAGTAGTGAAACATTGATTGAGGAGAATACGTATCTACGACGTTTCGTTGGTTTGCAACCGATTAGTGATAATGACCCATTCTGGAATCATTTCCTTTCCTTCAACTTCCTCATCGATTCTAATAACAGGTTAATCTTTTCTTCATTAATACAACATGAGACGAACCAATTATTGATTAACTGTATGTTGGAAGCTTAGAAAGTTAAACTGTTGTCGGTTGTTTTTCCTATGAAACACTTAATAGTTTTTTGCTTCAGTTACTATATACACTTTCCTTCTGGTTGACGGTCATTGTATGTTTAATACAAAAAATTTTAATCCTTTTCATTCAGAGAGTGTCCGTTATGCTATTTTGTTGGCAACACTTTTTGTTTTTTTTTTAAGAAAGGAAGTAGAGCAGTTTGATATTTCTTTATCGGATAGTCTCCAGTCGCTAATGTATAATACACCAACAACTTGTAATTTCGCGTCATTTATTCATGTCCTTCTCAGACGGACAGCAGAACTGAAAGCTTCGGAAATTTACAACAAGTAAAGAAGTTCGCTGTTGCTCTCTAAATCAATTTTATCAAAGAATTATGCTAAAACTTAGAATTTCAGCTTTTTTCCTTTCGAGATATCAATAGAAAATAATGTAGTCTTTTGATAATGTTTATACCGTTTCATTACCAAGCATGGCATGCAGTTTTGCAGCACAATTTTTCTTTGGCAAACAGGAAATGCGTTAATCATCCTCCGGCATATTTGCAAGTTTTTAATTCAAAGACTTAGCGAAACTGAATTTATCAAAGTTTTTCACATGGATAAAACCTATTTGGGAAAAAAAGATGGTTAGTGATCTGATTCCTTGCGCATTTTTCCATTTTTAAATGAATAGATGATTTAAAAAAATATTTAATCATTTTCCTGTCATTTTCAAGTCCTTTTTTGAAGTAATTTAAATGTAGCAGT